CCTCCAACATGTTAATAGATTTCGATATTTGTCTTTAAATCCCTTCATTCCTGATTTATAACTTGACTGTTTTGGTATACTTTAATTGTAAAGATGCTATGAGTAAGGGCGTTGACTCACTCTGAAAAACCGCGAAAAGTGGGTATCGACCGATATATGTCCCATAAAATTTATCTTTCAAGATCAAAATGTACCTAATATATGAGACAAAGTGGTGCTTTCAAAACAATACACAGTAGTCGAAAAAATGCTTAAACCCAATTAAAAGACGCCACTTCTTTCAGAGTTCGTACCAACGTTGATCCTTAAGTTTCCGTCAAACGGCATGATTAACAAAAGTCGGAAACAGCTAAAGGTGTCCAAGGGACTAACCTAGAGTATGATGATTTTTTCTTCATCCACACTAGTCCACGAAAAAAGACTACACCGACTGGGATTTTACTTTCTTCTCAAAGCTTTTGTTTTTAGCGTTTTTGGTCAGAGGCTACAATATTCTTACCAGTGGTTACAGACCAAAATAGATGCAGGTCATCTCTCAGCTATTGGGCCAAACATTTGATGTACAGGACGATAAGCCTGTTTTTAAGGGTAAAGTCCGGGCACTTACATTATATTTCTCCACATCCATAATGTCACTGTATTTGAACGTCACATATTGTTATTTCTCCAATTTAAACAATAACACTCAACATAAATTTAATAGACCTAATGGGTATTTTTAAGTCGATTATGGGGAAATCGCTGAAGTTAAATTTTCGGTGGGAAAATTCACAGACAATGTCAGAAATTTAAGTCAAAGTTAGTTTAAAAGATTCAAAACACATCGTTCTTATTAACACTGGTTATATAATCAACTGCAGTAAGCTTCAGATAATCGTTTGTTCTTATTTAGTAATTATTAAAACTTCCCCAAGGGACATGGTCGGATAAAATGCACACAAGGGCTAAGAAGTACCTTAACGTTATAACGCATAATTTGTGGTTCCAATTTCTTTTTGAAGTATAACGTACAGATATCTTAAAATTCTCACCACTATACAACATCAGTAATTATGGTTTTCTCATAGCAAGAAGTGGTTTTACATGTTTACATAAACTGTCAACTTATGAGAATACTTAATCTGAATAAAGTAAAATTATGAATAGAGAAAAATGTAATCGCAGAACTGACCGTAGTCTCACCCAATTAACGATAAACGGATTTTTCGAATAATCAAAAATTCCTTTGCTGTATAGTACTCCGTTGCTTCTTTAGCAAAATACAAGATATTGGGCATTGAGTGGAAAAAGAGAAATACCCACAAAATGACTTTGACACATGCGAAATTTGACCTAACTTGCGGTATAACTGTTACAGAAGAGCTAGCTTTATTCAACTAATGATTAGCTGTCATTGCAATTATCATTATTTTCACTGATTTTTTAATATACATTTTTGTTTATAATTTTGACCTTTGTGTAACGGAAAGAAAACGCTGAAAATCTCTGCACAGTATTTTGTTGGACAGTACTGTCATTTATTTGTATTTTCTCCCTGTCGTGTCCTTTGATCTTTATTTAGATCGCTTTTCATCACAGTTTGCGTTCTTCAGTTTTCCTCGCCTGAGTTTTTATTATGTGACTTTGATTAAAGACTTACCTTTTGTTTCCCAGTTTTTCTGTCGCATGCTATCGGACTATTGACAGTAACGTTGTGTTTGACTAGGCTCTAAGTCACGGCGTGGTTCAGTGTGCTGCTGTTAACCTCAGATTGTCTGCTTGGAAAAATTGCTTGAATCCCATTTCGTTGGGACTATATTTATTGATTCTCAGTACGCTAATCTGTGTTAGCGAAGCGATTGGCCATATAACACAGGCTTTACCGTTAGAGGTATTTTGTATTTTTGGTGTAATTTGTTCTTTTCTCAAAACACTTATCGGTTAGCATTTTTTAGCGAGTTAATTTTCTAAAGACTGGAGTCGACAACCTCATGCTCATCTCTCCTCTTTTATCCGGGCTTGGGACCGGCAGCAGCCTAAGAGGGGCTCCAGACGGAGTTTTTTTCCTGCTCAGCATTGAATTGTAAGAAAGTTGGTTGCGGATTCACTGGCAAAATGATTACTGAATACGAGGAATGTGTCAGTTTAATAAAAGTTCTTACGGGACGAATAAACGAACAACTATAAAACATAAGAAATTAAATTCTCCCTTGCAGAAACAAAGGACGAAATATCATTGTATGTTGGTGGTCATGATTCTAAAGTAGTAACTTAAACCAGAATAAAGCCGTCACTGTTACAAGTAGCCTTGATGTTGCTATTGTGAGTGATTTGATGGAATCAAATGAACGACAGTTCAGAAACTAAGAAGAGAAAAATACTAAAAACAGCATCCATCTGACTGATAATCCTTTGGTGCACTCCCAATCTGAGTCACAAAATAATCCACCAAAGTCCGAAAGTAGGTCGACAGTAAATTTGGCGTGACTGGAAAACGTCGGACCCCATCGAACATTATTGTGAGTGATTTGATGGAATCAAACGACCCTGTTGCAAAAACCAAACATGTGCACAACTTGTAAAAGTTAGGAAAATTTATCCGCAGAAATTAGCACCAAACATTCACAAGAATATCAAGGAGGATTGAAGAGAATGTCGGAGGAACCACCAAATACTTTGTTAACTGGTGCTCGAAATCGAACAAGAGGGTACTAGGCGAACTAGAAACTCATCTATAAGCTAGTGGAAAACCCCCCGCTCTCTGTTACTTTGAATAGTCAGATCTTGATGGCATTCACTTCACTTTTGAGACTTGTGCGCGAATGCTCGCAGTCTAGGAAATAAATCTCATGAACTAACAGTACCAATGGACTAATTTGAGCCAACTACCTAGGAATCGACAAGAATAGATGAAGGGAAGGGTTGATATTCTTATATGCATAGCTAGTAATATGAGCATCCGTTCCTTTGTTTTTGAATCCCATAACGGTGGAACTTGTTAATTCACTAGCTGTAAACCCCCTTATGAAGTCTGTACATTTATACTCAATGTCATCTACCGTAGCCTAATTTGCTTAGCCGGTGACTTTATTTTAGAGCACATTCGACTTTGAAGTAGAAAAATGAGAGACGCGTGATATTAGGAGATACACTTGATATTAGTCGGACAGAGTTGCTCACCGCAAGACCTGAGAATTCTTTCGATTGTAGGCCCCTGATGACCATAATGAAACATGCTTTAGTATGAAATCTATCCAGTCCCACGGGTCTATATTCAAGTCAAGGATCTTCTTTGTTGGACTTGAAAATCACTCATGCTGCCAAGCAAAACTAGCAGTTAGCCACCATTCTATGTTCTCAACCATGTTTATGGCTTGTGATATAGTATATGATCAGGACAAACCTCAACCAAATGCGTGAATGGCAAGCGTAAAAGCCATACAGGAGCGCACTGCAACAACTGACTGTTCAGTAAATATTAGCTCACAAAATGAGGAAGCATGTTTCGCATGTAGAGGTACATTCAGCTTAGTTGCATCCCGTTCATAAAGACTTTTGTGAACCCGAACTTGGAATATGGAACTCAAGCAGTAAGCCATTGTTTCAAGTATCATACGGATATGCTAAAATGAGTTCAACGGAGATGGACTAAAATAGTGGCATATTATTCGAAAACCATACATGTCTTATCAGCAAGCTCAAAAAATTAGGTATCAAATCACCATTGATTGATCGGCTCACTTCATATCCAAAAAATCGACATTCTTGAAGGTCAGGGTTAACTTCACTTTCTCTCAGGCTATGAAATGTCTTATCGGGGTCCGTCAGGGTTTAGTACTAGGACCTCTTCTTTTCTAGATTTACATAAACGATCTTCCACAACAGGCGTCGTCAGATACGTTGCTTTTCGCTGACGGTGTGAAACTCTGGAGAGAGAGTTAAGCAATCGAGAGGATAAACTGGCACTTCAAGAGGGTCTGACTCGACTTCAAAGTGTCAAGTAGTCCATCTGAGACATGTTGCAGATTACAGCTACAACTTAGTTAACTCCCGTAGAGGTATCTCAGGTTGAAATAGTTCTAGCAGTGTTGGTACCCTGAGACAAAAGTGACGTTTGATCGAACTTTTTACACGATGTTCAACAGTTTTATTCGTCCACATTTAGAGTAAGGAAACACAGTATTTCCTCCTTCACTCTAATAGCATAAAGACACTGTGGAACGTATCCAACGGTGAGCCATGAAATCAGTTCGTGGACTCGAACCCAAGTCCTGTGAAGAGAACTTCCTATCAATGAAGCTTTACCCATTAGAGTACGGGCGTCTTGGAAGTGACCTTCTAATGGCCTACACCATTCTAAATAATTCTGTCATCCCTTTAAACACATACTCAAGCTTAGTCCTACCACAAACCTTAGGAGTAACAACCAGAAACTGGAGACACAACACAGCAGAACGGAATGTGGACACAACTTCTACTACCTAATAGTAGTAAAATTTTGTAATTTGCTGCCAGACGAGCTAGTTTAAGCGACATTCCAGGAGTCCTTTAAGAGAAAACCCGACATATTCTTAAGGACTAAGGATAATATCTTACTATGATTCACCAATTTCTTTTTCCTGTGGTATCGTTAATGTACCAAGGTTCCTGCCTGGAGGTATTGATGATCCACTGCTACTAGACACGGAAGTCCGTTAATCGAAAGCTTCTATTTAGTCCACGACCATTCGAACTCACTATGCTCTGTTCTCCCAGTTTTAAATAGGTCAAATACCGTGAGGAATTTTTTTAATGTCAGTAGGTGACTTCGGAATGATCCACAACATGCTGAACTGTTCCGTCGAACACACCAATTAAGTGGACAACATTATCTTGAACTAAATCTAAAATATCGGAAAATATGTTGTTAGTCTTTTTCTTCATTATGATACTAATTTTCAATCATATTCGTTATAAAGGTGTTGATAAAGGGCCTTGCATTTATCTCCAGTGTATTGTAACACAATACTACAGCTTTGGCACGTTGTACAAGTGGTAGGGTCGTGCGTAGTTCAAAAATAACCAAACAAGGATGGTAGAGGGCTCCGGCTTGACTGTTGAGTCTGTGTTATCTGCCATTGATGCGTTGTATATGAATCCAGATACATCTATCAAAGAGCAGGCTTCAAAGTGGCTGTGTGAATTTCAAAAATCGGTAACTGTTCTCACCTATATGACCTTTTAGGTTTATGCTTGGCAAATATCCGATCAGTTGCTATACATGAATAGAGATTTAAATTCTTGTTACTTTGGAGCTCAAACTATACGTAAAAAGGTATGTTTTATGTTGGAGTCAGTAATGCTTTAAGATTCAATGTCACTTTACTGAACTCCCAGTGGAGTCGCACGAAGTATGTTTCCATTATCTATCCAGCTTAGTTCCAGGGACTAAAAAACTCTCTCCTGCAACATGTCAAAGAACTTAGAGAAAACACTAGCTTACCGATAGCAAACCAGTTGTGCTTAGCCGTTGCAGATTTGTTTTGCCATATGGTTCAATGGAAAGATGGGATCAAAGATATTGTTTCAAAGTAACTGCAGAGTATTTATTAAAATATTTCCACAGATTTTCAGAAACAGACGTCTCCTGCAGCTACCTAATTGACATTCTAAAATTTATTCCTGAAGAGGTAGGCAGTGTGTTATTTTAATGCACTTGTAGATGAACAGCAGTACACTTCGACTAGGAATGAATCGTCGACACGCTCTTATGAGTCAGTTTGAAGGAAGCAAACAGTTTGTGTTAGAGTTTCTGGTAAGAGTTTAACAACCTTAGGTTAAATTGTGCATCACTTCACTACAAATCAGTTGTTGATGTCGTATACATCTTTTTTTCCCGACGTATTTCCTTGTAAAGACACAGGTTTTGCAATATGATATTTTGTAACTTTACTCCAAGTGTAGATCACGTGTATCCTTTACCGTCATCAACTGAATTACGATCTTTTGTTAACTACCCTTACATTTTTACATATCGAGTCATGATATTAATTTTAAATAGCTGTCCTCTCATTCATCGTCAAGTTGAAGTGGTCGTAGTTCCCACTCTAAATTTACTGTATAATTTATTTCCTTGCTATTCTGTGTATCACCATCAGAGTCACAACATTTTTATGCTCTTCAAACTTTTGTTGCTTCCGTATCCTTTGAAACGTAATTTACTTTATACCCTATTCACATATTTCTTGTTCCCTAAGTAGATATGGTCACAAATTGTAGTTTATCTGTTTCAACCATTTCTATTTTTTACATACACCCAAAGTTGATATATAAGTATCATGAGTGTAATTCAACTAAAGTGCTTAAGATACATCTTGAAATATGACGTATCCGAGTAGGACATAAAAATGAGTCATCTTCATTCCTACATATAATCGCTGTAGTTGATAAGAAACAGCAGGTATGCATTACAGAAAAAATGCACCACACAAATGAAGTGTTTTATTGTACAATGTTTCAACTAATAAAGATTTCTGGAGCTAATCCATCTGAACATGCTGCTCCCCTCGCTTTAGATTGCCTATGACCTTTTCAACCCCAATTACGTCGATTAAACATTCATGTATCTTGGAGGTGGTGGGTAAAGTGTGGCTGACTGTTAGTTAAGGCGTTCTGAATATTTAATACATAATGAGATATTCGGCTACTGAATGCCTGTTTTTTTAGTGGTTTGTCTTTTGCATTCCATGGTAATCATTTACCATACTAATTCTTTTAAGTACTTTTCTCAATAATGACGAACTCTAACTTTCTTTGAAAGCATAAGGCCTTTACTATGCCAACCGGATTTTCCATATAGATTATTATGATTTATATATTATCCATTGTCTTTTACCCGTAAGGTATGTACTCTTTTGTAATCGCTTTCGGAAGTAAAGTAAAAGTTTTTGCCATAGTCATATCATATTACAAATCTGATTTAGTTGTTAAGCTATAGAAATGATAAAAATCAATTTCATTTTTGTAGTGTGAAATATGTATTTGTTTTCAAACCATTATATTGAGTAGTTAGCCACAGCGTTTTGCACTCAAAATGATAGCACGAAATAGCAGTAATTAATTAATTTCACGAGCATTGTTTGTTTAAAACAAAGGGAAAATTCCAAAATTCGGTCTCATTTTGTCTTTTCGTAATTGATGATATCATTACTAGATAGAAGTTCCCTTGTGTAAGCCACTAATCTTATGCAAAATCCTATTCGTAAGCCTTAAAATTGTTGTTCTGGCTAAGGTAAACAGCATTAGTGCTTGTGTTATCAATACTGAGGCGTTTTTCTTGTTTCTAGTCTCACAGAGCAAAATCAGAACAAATGGTTATCTTAGCTAAAGTATATAATTGTCTTGCAAGTTGGTGGGATAACACTGGAGTCATGGTTGAACACGATGTACCGATTGACCCTCTCTTAAACACTGCATTTGCTATCCTTCGGAATCCTTCCACTACTCCTGAATCAACTTTCGACGCCGCATCTCAGTGGGTGCTAGCACTTTTATACCAGTGTAAGGTAAGCCAGTTTATTTTAGCAGTATTACTGTTAATTATGTCTGTAGATTAACCTTGCACTAGAAAAACTGTAATTTCTGTATGGCATATTCACCATTTTTCTTCTAAATACTTATCCCCGCTTTTTATGTGCGCCTTTGAATGTCCCATCCTACTTTTAAATGTTTCGAAACAGTTCTTTAGTCGTTTGAAGCATGTACAGATCAAAGTAAATCCTTACTTGTTTCCTTCAAACTGACCTAAAATAGTGTCTACGAGGACTCGTATTCATCTACAAATACTATCCAGTAACATATTCCCTAATTCCTGGGAAATAAATTCCGAATTATCGATCAACATACTTCAAGAAAAGCCTGTCTCTGTCAAGTCACGATAGGTTGGTTCGTCGATTTACGAAGCCTCCATGGTTATATATTCTCTTGGCTTATCCTAATTCTTAAGTGTTAAGTAACATTGAATCAAGTAGTGGGCCTTTCGATTTTGGTCTCTGCTGAATATACTAACCATATATGCAGGTGAGACTTTTATATAGTAGATTGAATGCGCCTAGCAGTGAAATCCGGGGTTGGGACACTACCTTTCGCTTCAAACATCAACGCTGGCTCATCCAGTTAGTGAGTTTCGAACAACACGAAACTCACGTCCTTGATTCTACTGCTAGTCACACTTCGTCTATTCTATGTAAACTTATGTCATAATGGATATATCGAAGCAATCCGCACAGGATGCACATATACTAAGATTGATCAAAATTCGCTCAAGATATTAACAATATGATAACCTATGTTATTACAAACTAAATTGAAATTTGCGTTTTTCAACCTCGTTTTCTTACGTTTTTATGGGAAACTGGTTATCTTCCTTTTCTTAATTCTGATTCAAGCAACTCAGCAACGCAAACAGTGAATTACTGCGTTGGCTTCAAGAAAATATTTACAGTCTAGTTAGTGTTGTGCAGGAATGCTCCAATTCTGTCACGTCTGCGTTAGGATCAATTCAACAGCAAGAACAGCTTGAACTGTACAAAGATCGGTGTACTTGCTTGGCTCACATTTTCTCGTCGTTAGCCAGAACTTTACGGCCTCCTCTTGTAGATCAGCCCACTAGCCCTGGATCTGGTGGTCTTGGAGACTTGCGTACTATGGAGTGTATTCTTGTAGTTCTTGAAATACCTCCTCCTCTTGGTAGTCGTGAATTGGCATCTATTACATTCCATGCCTTACATTCATTGGCTGATGATGCGATTCGAGTAAGTTTTAAGAAGTGTATCTTTATTAAGTGTTTAATAATATTCCTAACGTTTCACCAATACAATCAATGGCTGTCTTGTTTGTTTTTGAATCAACCATCTTGATACTCGCTCTAGTACTCAGCAAACGGATTATCTTACATTTTATGAAGAATACGGCACTGATTATTCCCTAACCCGTACGTTAACTTGAAGATTGCACTGAACCCTAGTTGTTATTGCGTCACAACTGATAACTGATAAAAACTACAATAATGATGGGTTTATTCCTAAGTCTTTTCGGATTTAACTAAATTTTAGTATTTTGTGCAGACAGAAGTAAATTTTTATTCTAAAACCAGTTAGTAGCAAGGAATGGACCATCAATAAAATGATTCATGGATAAGTAAATCATTGAAAAGAAGAAAGTAATATGGCCAAATAATCCAGTGGTAGGTAGTTCAGCTCAGTCTCAAAGACATTTCTTCCTTTGAGGTATACTGAAAATAAGAAGCTTATTTTGCAAAGCAGTTAAAGCATACTGATAAACTTAAATAAAGAACAAGTAAATCATAAGAGAATGCCTCTACCTCCTATTCCGATAATAAAGAATTCAACTTTCGGCAGATATCGAAACTGTGTCCTTTTCCTAGAGCATTTCCCCCTAAGTTACAAACGTATTGTCATCACTGTTTATTGTGTGCTTTATAATTTGTTGAACATTATGGAATTTATTTACGATGACTTTTCGCACTCTTATTTGAATTAGCACCGGTCCATGAGTGCTGCAGTATCTGTGAATCAGGGCTCCTTGGAATCTTCAGTTAACAACTCTAATACTTCTGCTGGCGTGGCACGCCCGATTGCAGCCTTAATTCCTTACTTCACTCGCGTTGTAGTTGCGTTAACTAGTTACTGTCCTAGTAATACATCCGACTTAGAAAGTACCGATGAATTAAGAGATTTTCGTGAGGATGTTCATGATCTCATGCAAGATATTCTGGGTTTGGTTGGAGCTGAAGCTATTTTCGTCGAGGTAATTATATATACGCAATATTATATAATTGATGTGATTTTTCAAATATTGTTTTTATATTTTTAACAACTTTATTATACAACTTTCATTTCATATTTTGAATTGTGCTTGAGTTTGATCAAGTTAGCTAGTGTGCGACCAGTCGTACAGTACCAAGCTCTACTTTGATAAAGGCTAACTGCTGATTTTTCCAAATAGACATCATGGATGGTTGTTTGAAATTTGTCGCTCTCTAGGTCTTATAAGTATTTTATGGGGGATGGAAACTACTGTATCACCTTTGTCATGAACGGCATCAATAACGATGTGTACAAAATTAGACCTTACATCAGAGTGTGGTAACAACAAAGTAACATCATGTATTATGTAGCAAGCTACATATACTAAAATATTACTCATGGTTAACGTGTATTATAATTTGCAACTTATTATTTTGTTCAGGCGACTGGAAGAAGGGTTTTGATCTTTGGCAGTTACGCGCAATCTAATTTCACTAGGTTATGACAGGCTTTGCTTGTTCCAAATAATATTTAAGCTACTCTACCCTCCAAGTTTCATCATTGCTAACATTAATCTTACTAAGGTAGATTGTATCAGTCAGTCAGCTACAACGTAGGACTAGGGACGTATATGCATCGGTTCAAGTTGCCATACCTCATTATCTCAACAAGATGAAAACCGAATTCATAAAGTAGTGGTAATATATAAAAGAAGGATTGCATACAATGATATAGTACAGGAAAAAAGTTAGTTCGTAGAAAGAAAGGTATGAAGCGATTTTAATCTCACAGTTTAAGGGAAGATAGAGAGTGTATACACCTACGCCACTGTGATAGATTCTGAGTCATGTCACCCACAGTCTTCAACCATTGGTTACGATGGTCCCGCGGACCCCAACCAAATAGTCTGCACCTACCAACACGGCTAAAACTAGAAGTTAGTGAATTCAAGAAGGTTAGTGACTTCAAGGATAGACTGTATGGTCATAATTAGTGCTCTACGTTAACCACGCAGCTTTTTGTATACTATTTGGGCGAGTTCTGCATGATGTCCGTTTGTCTTTTGTACAGTTCTTGACCTTGAATTGAACCGAAGATGACAATAATCCTAGTATTTCATCTCTGAATTAAACTGTCTAATTTACACAGCCAATTTTAAATACACCATGAATATGTACCAATAATAGCTGTCTTGTTATGTAATTCCACTTTTGTTTTGAGTTAGTGCTGAAATTTGTGTGTTATGTACCCTTCATATTTTATCATATCGCTTGTCATTATTAAGTTTTTCGATTATCTTGAATGTAGTTGTAAGTACTTAGTTTATGGTTAAGAACGACAATGATAATTGATGCACCTATTGTTTTATAAATTGATGGTTATATTGCAAGACGTGAGACTTTTTAGTCTTCTTTCTTTTCCCTTCCATTTTGATATTCGAAGGTAGTGCCTACTTTTCGGGCTAAATTTATAACAAATATAATCTTCCATTTCTAGCTATACAATTATGTTCAGAAGCTGCAAATGTTAGCTATGTCTGAGAATGCACAGGCGTCGGCATATGAAGTGCTTCGGGAGTCTGAAGCATGCCTGTTCATGCTTACAACTGTTGCTAAACGTCTATCTCCTCGTGATCCTGAAGGACATATTTCGAATCTTATATCAAAATTAGTACTCCCAGGTCTCACAGGACCATGCCCTCCTCCTCTTCAAGAAGTCGGTTGTATGCTATATATGGAGTTGGCTCATTGGGCTGCCTGCCATCCTCAGCTCCGGCGTCAAATCGTTAACCAGCTGATCGAGATAATCGAAAAGTCTGCTGGCGTTGAGTCCCAATCTTTACAGGTTAGTTCTGTAATGTGTTTTTCGTAGTACTTCCAAGTTATGTTTATTACCTCGAGTTCGAATGGAGTGTGTTTATTAGTCATTGAATTGAGATTGTAAAGAAATTCAAGATTTTTTTATGTCCGTAGTTCAAGTAGTTTTTCGTGAGCTATACATCGGGTTTTTAAGCATAATATTTAAGGCACTTAGTTCTCAGTGAACCTGGATTCACTATATGTCAAGAAAAATCGTTTTTATTCACTAGATCTGTAGTCTTTTTTGGGTAGTTTTTTTAAACTGTCGTAACCCCTCTGACATAATCGTCGCTTTAAAAGATTGGAAATGATGAAATCATCGATCATAAATACAAACAAAAACGAGGTGACAGCACCTTGAAAGTATTTATTCAGAATATGCTGGTCATATCCCACCAATACGTTTACTACTGAACGAAACGGGTGGATTTGTTTCGTAGTGTAAATTATAGGACAAAATTTTCATCCCAATTTTTATGTGAATTTCAGCCTGATTTCCAGAAGTGTTAAAAACAAAACAAAACTTTTTAATAAGTGCTGGGATATCCTTGATTAGCGCTTGTGTATAATGTCTTTGCTACAATAGTAATAATCATTTAAATTTACACGCCAACTGATTTTTAATTACTTGATTGATATCCAGGCATTCTGTTAATAGCCTGACTCTACTCTCAATGAAGGTCTTTAATATTGATTTTTTCCACGGGTACACCGATTGTTTTGAATTTTCTTCTACATCCCAAGTTCCTTCGACTGTTTACTTTGAAGAAAGTTTAATCCTAGCTTTTATGGAGTTTTATATCGGTTTCCTAGCAAATTGAACTAGTAATTCGTTTAAACGAAATTTGTATTTTTACTTGTATCACTGAGATGAGTCTCAGTTAATAATGTAAAATTTCGTAGATACAGAAACTACAAACAAGCTGGCGTCCCAATCGATTTACGCACAAAATCCTCTTTTTTGGTCGAATGTAGAGGACCAGTGGCAAATGATGCTTTTCATCTCAAAGGTGTTTCATTTTACAATTGGATGATTTTCTCGAAGTCAACTAGCTAGCTTACTTCAATTGGTATTCAACATTCTAAGGTCTATGCCGTTTCATGCTCTTACTTAATTCATCCTCATTTCTATTCTTTATGAAAGAAAAACAAGCTTCAAGTAGCCTACTTAAAGATCTAACGAAGAATTAGTTCTATTACGATTATTTGTAATCTATAATGGCTGCTATTGTTTACTTGTGATGGACCTCGTCGTTCGTAAGTTATTACCACTTGTGTTTACCGTTCGTTTTCACATATGAAGTATGGAACACTGTTTTTGAGTGTTTTATTTAAAATTAACAAATGCTGAGCATATTCTTTGATTATTGGATAACTAAACGACTATTTCCAATGGATCCCTAATGGTATCTATTTCTACAGATGGTTTCGCCGCAATAGGTAGGTGCATTGTATATTTGTAATTTTAGTATTTAGAATGTTTTATTGGTTTGTCAATATAATCAATATCATCTGTATAACAATCACAACTGTACGAACAAAAAAGCACAGGGAACTGGTTGTCGCAACTTTCCAAACTCATCAAGTGGTGGGAAACATTCATATTCTATAATGGTGTTAAGTTGAATTTCCAAATTCTCGACTGGTGATGCTGCGAAAACAAAGTCCAACTTTTCTTTAATTGGCATCAGTCAATTACTCTTTTGACAACATTCGTTAGTGTTTAGCCGGATTTTCACTTTATTTTGTATTCCAGCCAGGTCAAAAGCTTGCTGTTGGAGCGGCACTTTCAGCTCTTGGTTCTTTATGTGCTGTGTATCGCGCAACCCCAACATCTACACCTAACGGAGATGTTTCTACTCATTCCCCTTGTAACTCCGATTCTCTTCGTCTTGCTTTAATTGACGAACATTGGCAGGATTTGGTCAATCGAGTTGCCTACAATCTACCAAGGCTTGCTTGGGTTCCTATCCATGATGCTACTCATTTTTTCGCTGGTATAGGACGAGGTCTAATATGCTCTGTGGGCACAGGTGGTGGGGGAGTTGAATTCGACCCTCGAGCGTCTAGACAAGCTTTTCCGATGAGAGTAGCACAAATATGTAGCGTCAGCTTGGAATGTTTATCTAAGGTAATTATCAACTTTCATGATAAGTAGTTTTGAATTTTTATCAGGAGTCTGCATGATTTAGTTTACGGACTAAAAGTATTGTTATTACACTAGACGTTCAGAATAGTTTTTTTCTGCATACTAATGTAAGATACTAGCAATATGGTGAGCAATATCTTGTAGAGGTTAATTCCTCTATATCTTAATCCAGTAAATATTATCCCGTTAACTGAGTATTTACGTAGGCTAAATCTCCTAGTCAGTCAGTCATTAACAACGTAGAACTTCGTACGTACGTACATCAGTTCGGTAGATGCTGCTGAGATCCAGTGTTTCTCCCTAACCTTATGGTTTACGTACTTGCAGACATCACTGCTGTTTCTACAGCTTTTCGGATGTCATTCCACGCTGCCTCAGGGTGGGCGTCACTTACATGACTGTCTAACTGTTTTTCTAGATGTTCCTGAAATATACTCCTAGCTTGACTATCATTTAGTAGGACCCTAAGGGGTTTCCTTGCAGCGTGTTTCCTACGTCCAGTAAGACGTAGACAAATACGCGCTCGCACTAGAGCATGATCTGAGTCTAAGCATGTGCTCCAGAATGAGCGACAGTCTTCTATCGAGCCCCTCCATCGGTGGGTGATAGCGATGTGATCTATTTGGGTCCAACGTTGAGACGAATTAGGGGGTCGCCATGTTAAAAGATGTTTTTCCTTATGCCTAAAGTTAGTGTTTGCAAGAAACAGGCGGTTATCTGAGCATAGCTGCAACAGACGGTCGCCGTTATCTGTTCTTTGAACCGCGACACCATAAGATCCATCCAGGTGTCTTTCCCTTTCGCTTAGTTTACCTACTTTAGCATTAAAGTCACCAGCCACTATTACTACATCAGAGTACTTAGCTTTTCGGAGAAGGTCAAAAAGCTTTCTGTAAAATTCGTCATTTACGTCATATAAGCTGCAGTCAGTGGGAGAGTAGGCAGAGACGACAAAGAGGCAACGACGTGTTCTTATCTTTCCGAGTCCTTACTGTTCCGTTTAGTCGGACAGTGCACAAACGACTGTCTACTGGGATTCGGTCTAAGAGAGCTAGTTCTGCCCTAGGACTTAATGCTATACCTACGCCAGCGAGGCCACGGGAAGCAGCATCAAGTCTTCCAGATACACGAAGTGTGAATTGAGATGGTTCTGAATTTTTGTATGGTGAGGTCAAATGAATGATGCTACTCGGATCCTGTATGCGCGTTTCGGTGACGCATGGCCTTTTTGTGGGAGGTTTTTAAGGTGTTAGCTCCGATTTTCAAAAGGCCTTACCGCCAGATACGAAAATTCGTAAGTTTAAGTGAGGTGTCACAGTTTTAGGGTCGACTTTTACTAACCACTTCCTTCCTTGTTAGAAGGCAGCATCGCTGTCATGCTGGTGGTCCGTGTAAAACACATTACTGCTGTCACACCCCTCTACAGTCCACAGTACGGCTTCGCCCTCAGACCTTGAGTTGCTACTTTCGGTCTTACCGTTCTCCAATCGACCTGCCTGGCATGGTATAACCTACGGGAACATGTGTTCCAGCCAATATAGCTCGGTTGGGTCATCACAATAGGCACGCCCAACCACTACATCAAGGTAGCAGCTACGGTCGGGTAGTAGTATTATTCAAAAGCCAGAACAGTTGTAGAGATAGTGTATTGTTAATCATTAGTAAAAACCCGTAAGCGCGCAGATAGCAAGGACATAGAGAAACCAGTGAGTGTGTGTGTGTGTTAAAATATCCATATATATTTATGTGTTAATTGATTGTGGATAATTTATTGATTATCTGTGTGTTATAACCGATAGGAGAATAGATGAACATTGATGTGTAGACATGCGCTCGATCAGACTCACACATAATTTTACATAGTGGATTAAATGTCTAAATTACAGTGAGTAAACAAGTAATAAAGTAGTTGAATGGGCTTACTACAATCCCATTTTTGGTCTAGTGTGCGCATGAACTTACGTCCACTTTCTCTCATTCTCTATATCTTAAGTAGTTTAAATCTAATAGTGAATATGCTAAAACTCTACTATACTATTACTAATTAAGATTATCAATTCAGTGCAAAAACGTTTCACCCTAGTCATCTTTTTGGAAGAAATGGTCACTTTCAATATGTTGTCTCATATTCACCAATGAATCCGGCCTCAATTTATGTCAGTACACATGGATGTTTATTGTTCGTAAACACTAAGTATGTCTACAACCAGTACTTTCGATACCCAGTTTTAAGCTGTAGGATAGCTGGCTCCTGCTTCACTTTGCTTGTGTTCGTTGTACTTAATAGATGTTGGTTCAAATTCTATTTTCCAATGTTCAATCAGTTCGTTGGTCTCAATTACTACACCTTTATATGATCCTTCACTCATTTTTTGTCTATCGTTTTTAGTTGATGGATGGTAATGTCCCTATAGAAGGTTCAGATACTCTCAGTGACCCCCGTGTATGGCTTGATTACCTAGCAGCACTGTTTCGTACTTTCAATTGCCTTTTACGACGTTTGGGAAATCCAAGTTCTAGTCAGTGGGACACAAGGGAACGCAATGCTGTTGATCGTACTACGTCTGAGTTGGTGCTTTCTGCTCAGAATTGTTTAGCTGAATGCTTGCAGTTAGTAAGAGAAGTAATATGGCCAGTTGTAACCCGTGTGCTCACACATTATGCCTCGCGCATGCGTCCAATGGAGCATGTTTGTCGTCTCATACGTTTTATTGTGCGTTGTTTTTCTGTGCACTTACGAGATCTTCTCCCGGAACTTGCTGAAAAAGTAAGTTCAATGACCGATGATAAATTTATTCTGTCATGCTATTGTTACTATAACATTTGACAGCTAAATGGATCAAAATGTAAAATTCATTTCACATTAAGGTAAATTATTGTTGGTTATCCTTTACTTATTTAAACACAAACATTGGTACATGGGAGCACCAAATATTTATGCGCCACATTAGAGGGATAGCGAATGTAAAGTATGCATAATAAAGTGAAGAAGAACAACGAACAGAAATTAGTGTATGAAAGTGAAATAATAATAGTAATAGATGAGAGAAACAGTTCGGCTAGTAAAAATACAACCAGAAGGAATTCTTTAAGTTAAAGGAGAAAATAAAAGAGAGTTACAGCAGGATCGCCACTGGCTTCTATTATGAGCCATTTCTGATAACATCTCTAGTCACTGTATTGCACCATCTCTGGGACCTTAATCAGGGAGTCGTGAAGGACCAACAGAAGACAGTCCTGCACAACTCTCTTTCATACTACTACTAAATGTCGTCCACCGACCACCTCCGCTTTTTGCAACCAGTCCCAGAGTCGACAAATAATGCACGACGTGGAATTCTCTGGGACGACATTCGTAGAGCGTGTCCAAGTCACCGAAGTCGACATTTCAAGATAGTGACACCAATTGAATTATCGTCTCTGTGCCCAAACACACGATGCCGGACCTCTGCATTACTGACATAGTGTTGCCACTAGATGGCAGCAATCCTTCGGAGACAAAGATAATCAAACACAGAAAGTCGTCTAACATCCTCTACTCGAAGAGGCCAGGTTTCACAAGCATAGAGCAAAAATGCTCTTACCGACGCGTTGTAGATCCGACCTTTTACAGCCAAAAATAGCCCAGATTGGCATAAACCGCTCTGGCTTTCACTATACGTGCATTGATCTCATCACCCACGCCACCACCAGCACTTATGCAGCTACCCAGATGCACAAACAACTCGACTACTTCTATCTACTCACTACCCAGGGTGAGTGCAGGCTCAGGGTCCTCTCAGTCTCGTAAAAGTACTTTCCACTGAGAAGGTTCTAAACACATTCCATACCCATGGACCACCGTCTGCTAACTGATTAAGTGCGGATTGCTTGGCTTTGGTATCATCACACAGTAAAACAATATCATCAAAATAGTCAGGGTCAGAAAGTCTTTCTCCAAACAACAGATCCACACCACCATTACCTACATCCATTAGAGCTGTTTCCAGGACGTCATGGTTGGCAAAATTGAAGAAGAACGGTGAAATCGGGCAACCCTGTCTAACCCTACTGCTTGAATTAAATAATGAAAGGCGGTGGTTGTATGCCTTCACTCTCCCTGATGTGTTTGTATTTGGGGCTCTCAATATGTTAATAAACTTCTCAGGCACATCCTTCTTCAACAGACGATCCCGGAGAACAGTCCTGTCCAACGACTTAAAGGCGGCCCTGATGTCAAGAGACACTACGATTGTTGGCTTGTAATAAGTATGACGGTGCTCTAACATTTGGTGGTGGGTGAAAATATGATCGAAAAAGCTTCAGTAAAAACGAATACCAACCAGCTCTTTGCGAGTCGATCTTGTTTGTTTTAAACAATTTGCGAAGTATGACGGAAGCCAATAGTTTGGACACAATCGGAAGTAGACTTATCCCCCAATAGTTGTTGCATAGATAACGTGAACCCTTCTTAAAGATAAGGACAACTATCAACTCATTCCACGATGTTGGAACACCTTGTAACCACTAGAAATTTTTAAACAACTCAGTCAGTTCCTTAACCAGACGGTAGTCATCAGATCAGTTGAGCTGCCCATCGTCCAAGACGTCAATAAATGTTGGTGATTGACATCCTGTCATCTTCACAGATTGTTAAGCTCACACCAGACGTCCTCCTGCCAATGACTCGGATGAGTTGAAAGACCTTCCGGTAGTTACCGGATGCAGTTGCTGCTTCCAACCTACGTGCACGCTCCGAACACCAGGCTTCTCGGTTCTTATGCAAGCCATGCACATCTTCATTGCGTGACGATCTTCGTTTGTGGTCAAACTCGCGGTCACGCAGAGTAGGCCGACGTGCTTCAACGGGTTGTAAAAAGCCTGTAGAAACCTTGTGCTTATGAACTGGATGTTTCACGAAGCCGCAAGTAACTTTACTCTGAATTTTCATGGCGTCGTGCAATTGCAACTAATTTCATGTAATGAACATGTGAAATTACGTATATTTATTCAACTTAATTAGTTCAGATTCTTATACTTCACTTCAAGTCGCATTCTAGGTTGGACTGATACTTAGCCCTTTTCGGTTCCCCAGACTAGAGAATGTGGCGTAGGTTTCAAGCCAGCCGTTTACAGGCTAAAAGTCGAATGTCTGAACCATCACTTCACAACGTAATATTGAATTAAGCATATATTATCATTATTATCAATACTACATTTCTTTACCTACATCTGGTAGTCCAAAAAAAAAATCCAAACATTGATAAATCACTATTTTTTATCGCCTCTGTATTAGTGTTGTTATGTTAACACTTATTCTTACCTCTTGTTTACTTCATTCAGCTAGCTATATGTCTGCTTCCAAATCAGATTATTTTCTGATTTTTCAACCTTTAGTTCAATTATCATAGCCTTGATTACCATATATTATTAGAGATCTAAGGAAATCTCCAACTTTCCATATATTTTATATAAATTAGGTTAATCAAACCCACTTCATATACTGTAGTACGATTTGTAAGTTACAAAATTAAATCATGAATTCTTCTCTGCACATGTAAGTAAGAATCATTTCACTTTATTAATACAAGTTAAATTAGAAACATGATCAATATAACACCAGTTCACGGTCTAAAAGTTGTATTATCTGTATGGGCTGGTTAAATACTACTCATCATAATCATATTGTTAGCAGCTGTTTATTCAAATATCTAGCATGACATTTTGAGGCTTCATTCAAAAATTTAAAAAATGGGTTGTTTTCACGCTTTACTTCATCTTTGAGTAGATTACCATGTTAACATATTACGTTAGATTAGATTTTCGTCTGTGATTAATCTTTTCAATAATTGTTCGAATCCATTTTTGAGTCCTGTTAAAATGTCGACTTTAATATGCTGTAAAAACTAGATGTGTGTTTCTGGTTTAATTTCATACTTTTATGTATCAAAGCAATGTTGTTTCGGACAATTTTTCTCAAATTTCAGATTGTACTGTCTTATACAACTGGAGGACAACATTCAAGTTTTCTCTATTTAACAAGCGTGCTAGTTGATGAATTCGGAGAACAATTAGATTGCAGAGTTGGTTTGGTTAATGTGTATGAGGTAATTTTTAAATTTAAAAAATCCGCATAACTTTTATTGACAACTTCGATTTCCGAACAAACGATTAAAATAAAGTGTAGTAAAATAGTTCATTAAATAAATGAGCATTGTAAAAAAATTAACACAAGCATAGTAGTGTTTAGCAATCAATTACAAATATCTAAATTTTTCTTATCCAATTTCAGTACAACTAAATTGTAAAAAACAACGATCAGTTTGCATGAATTGTAGTTTTATATCCCAGTCATAAGTTTGGGTTTCAAGCCTTCGAAGTAACACCCATTTATGGTAAAAAAAAATGTACTACACTTGACAATTGCTCGTTTTTACCAAAGCAAAATGGTAAATTCTTTCCTAATCCGAAAATAATCACCGCAATACATGTTCTGAATATTGCATACCTACTGCATTATGCGAAGATTTGTAAATATTTCCCAGATTGAGAACTTGGGCTGTAAAGGTTGACTTGAACGTATCACTGAAGTTATCCTGTCTTCGTCATATGTAATATCAATGTTGGAAATTTCCTGATTTCAGCACATTTTAAACCCAAAGTTTTCAAGTATTTTGTTAAAACCCTGTTAATCAGGGATGAATAGTGGCTAGCAGTATGGTCCGGTAGGCGCGTTTCATCCTATTTGTGACTTGTCAGGATTGATTTTCACTCCTTGACTCGGACGCAGTACCCTTCGCTTCGAATGCCATCGCATCTCTCCTTATAATAATGCTTGTGACTTAACAACATTGAGGCAATCCTCACAGGACGCACATATGCCAAAAGAAACTGGTCGATTTCGGTTATAAACATCAATGGACAGATTCAAACAACCAATACAAATGAATTGAAACCCTATTTCCAACATTTACCATTTTTATTATTTGGATTGTATTGTTTTAGAAACATAATTCTAAATTTTGGCGTACCCTATTTCATATAGCTACGTTATGATTACTTAGTTAATCATCTAGCTGATGCGGGTCTTTATCAGAGTAACATGAGTTTTTTGTCACAGTCTATTTTCTTAGCCTTCAAATAGGATTCGCCAGTTACTACGGGATTTAGGTTGAGTTAAATTCTAAAACATTCGTTTACTTGATTTGATTTTCTTTATCTATTTAGTTAATCAAGAATTACTCTGGTCATTATTCTTAGTCTTGAAAGCAATTTCAAACAAATGTGTTGATGAATTTCTTACGAAACTCCCTACTTATATTTTTCTTTCAAGGGTTTGCATTTGCACTGTACTTGGACATTGTTTGTAATGTGTGAAGTATGACACAATTTAATTTGTTTAGAATAGTTTTACAGGCTTATAACGAATGTGATACTTATTAAAGAGTATTTTTATTTGTATTATTTGTGTCTATCGATTATAAGATTCATATACTATTCTATCTTGAAGTTTCAAATCTTTGTTTAAAATGTCCACTATTTTGCAGGCATTGAGTGGTCCAACACTGAAATCTATCTCTGGTTCTGGACTCATACAACAACCGCATACTGTGGAAGATCTGTTTCGGTTATGTACCCGACTTGTACAACACTGTGCTGCTGTTTTTCTCACTAGTAGCAGGATCAATTTGAATGAACTCTGCGATACCGCTGTTTCTTCTCTAAATCTGTGTTGTGCCGGCCCTGGTGCTGGTTCATCTAGTGATGATACACCGGATCCAAACTCATCTAATAATGATGAATCGAGTTCATCGTCAGCTTCTACCAGCGCATCAGCTGCAGCTGCTCGATTTTTCATCGAACTCATCATTTTTACGAATGAGGCATGTGAGGAGACACCAATGCAGGTTGTACAGATTTTAGAATCTGGTAGACATCTTGCTACTCCCTCTTGCCAGTCAGCTCTAGCTGCTCAGAATGTTATTGTGTGGTTAACTTACTCCAGGCCTACACAGCCTACTGATCCTAGTAATATGAATAGTTGTTGCGGCGGACAACGGTTAGTTTCAGCATTATTGCAAGCGTGTTGTCTTGGATTAATGGATGAAAGGTTTCCCGAGATGGCGGATATTTTGTATCATCTTAAGGTCATGATTAATCAAGAAGTAAGTATCTATTTTCGGTAAGGCTTCTATATGTTGTCTTATTCGGTACATAGTATAGTTTTTGAAACTAAATCAGTTCCTTAAAGTTCTTCTCATTTTGAACTTGATTTTTTCCAACGGATTTTTTCCTTTATTATGCGTAGTTACTACAGTGTCTTGAAGAATTAACTTAGTGCTTCAATATGACTACATTTAAACATCATTAAGTCTGCTTAACTGTTTAATCTACCCATCCTCATCCAAGTTTGGTTTTGTTGAATCTGTTATTTCTGATTCCCACTTGCATACTAGATAATCACGGAAGCTAATGCTAACAGTAATAAAAAACTTAATTAAATGAAAACAAAATAAAGGTAGATAATCGGCAAGCGTCATGTATAGTTGTTTAGTTCTTCGATTGGGGAAAGTCCATGTTGAAATTTAGTGAATATTATGAATTTATAGTTAACGGACTTATTTTAGCACCTTCTTTCTTAGGTTTTGCTTGTTGAATGATGCACTTGGTTTTTATTTTATCAAAGCTTTCAAATTATGCGATCTTAACAAAAGACCAACCGGGAATAAGTCGCTTCTAAAAAAGTTGATCACAATTCAGTATTTCCAATTCCAGTGCTATATTTCCATATCCGTATTTATATATAGATGTTTCTTAATTGGTTGAAGAGCGCAGTAGCCAATTTGTCAACTATACGTACTGATGGTTTAGTCCAAGCTACACAAGACCAAATTACCGATTTTCAAGATGTTGTTATGAAGTGAGTCTGCTTGTGAACAATTTTCAATTCTAGTTCTACAATTTTGGTTTTTGTTTTCTACACATTGTTGTCTATGTTCATACATATAATAACATTTAGTGTATTATGTCTTATCAAACTAAAACTACTATTCCCTATTTAAATTTTCTCGCTTAAAATTAACTGTGTTAACTAGTTTTACATCAGTATGTATTGTAATCGTCTGTGTATGTAAAAATTGCGAATGTTTTCCACTTCATTACTGTGCGAACTAACCTTTAAAATCTTATAAATTGCTTCTCACTTGTTTCGTAGATAATTTTTCTTTTGATGTGCTCTCTGATGTGATGGTTTAATCTCAAAGACATTGTTACTCGTTCAATTGATACTATATTATGATGAAGAATTAAAACTATTTAAATTATCTAATATTTCAAAGATTTAGCCACAATATTTTGTTGCTGAATAGGTAAACTACCTAGGAAATCACAAAAGTTAGTGTCTTAATTAAAGAGCTAAGAAAAGCATTTTCATGTTATCAATGATTTATGCTAGTTGACAATAAAATTCAATTTCCATATATATCTTCTCATTCACTTACCGCAATGGTAGAGATTGCGTAAGGTCTCTCAAAATATCAGTCAGACTAACGGTAGAATGGTCGTTACCAAGTGAATTTACTTCTTTGTTTCAAGGTCAAGGTCTTATTCCTATACCACCGACGACCATAAAATGTAATTTGTGCAATTATAGCGTTTTCGTCATACTGTTAAATTATTATATATTGGCAATGGTAAGGTATTGTAATTTCAATATCATTAGGTTGTCCCTAATGATCTAAATTTTTGAACTATACTCAATCCTTGCTTTTTTTCGTAAAAAGTAAATTTAAAGTAATTGTTTGCTTAACAGAGTACTGCATGAGGCGTTTTTTAAATACTCGATGATATGTGAAATGTTGTTGGTTATTGACATTTCTGGCCTTTTGGAAAATTTAGTGATTTGCTGTTATTACTAGGTAATGCCATGTAATGTGATACTGAGTTTTGACGTCAAGTTTTCCAATTTAAATTAATATCATAGTGCATCCAACTGTTTAGAGCTGCGTTAATAATACACCAAAATAACTACCGTCCATTAAATTTACTTATTAAAACATCTAAAATATCATAACCGGTTTGACTGTTGAATGTTCAGCTACTGTGATCAAAACGATTGAATCCATCATGACTTTCTTCATGATAAAAACACTGTTTTAGTATGTTTTTGGCGTTTTACTTTTAAAAGGACGAGTGAAAAAAGCGCATATCAATAGGGCTGATCTTCAAAAAGGAAAATAAAATTACTGAATGTAGTAATCAGTGTTCAGGCATACGCAACACGTGGCCCAACAATCTCAGTCGATGAAGATTCACAACCTCATCATTCCCTAATAACCTATGTTTAACGTCACTGTTACTTACCCGGTGAATCCATCAGTGTAATAGTCCTTGAAGAAATCCATTGGTTCTGTGTAACCCTATGGTTTGAATTACTAATAGATGTCACCGCTGTTTCCACAACGGCTTGTATATCTTTTCAAGCAACATCTGGGTCAGCCTCGTTTTCAGAACTACCGAAGTGTGACCTCAGCTGTTCCTGGAGTCTATTTTTGGTTTTCGCATTACTCGATTAAGTTCTAATGGGTCTTTTCAGTGTGGCATTTTTGCATCCAATGAGGCACAAGCAGATGGGTTCCCGCATTAGGGCATGGTCGGAGTCCAAGCAGGTTCTCCAGAATGAGCGAAAATCTTCTGTCGACTCTCTCTAACGATGACTGGTGGCATTATGGTCTGTTTGAGTCCATCGCTGGTTTGGTGCCAGGGGTCGTCGTGTTAGACGGTGTCTCTCCTTATGCTTAAAATTTGTGTTTGCTAAAAATAAACGATTGTCTGAGCAAAGTTGCAGCAGACGATCACCATTATCTGTTCGCTGTGCCAGAATACCAAAATACCCGCCTAAATTTCTTTTGTTTGGTTTAAGCTTCCTACTTGGGCATTAAAGCCACCTCATACGAGTACTATGTCTGAACGTTTACCGCCGGAGACGGATGGCATGGTAGGACCTTGAGGAACGGTTGTTCCAGCCAGTGTAGCTCAGTTGCATCACCACGATAGGCAAGCCCGACTACCACTTCAATGTAGCAACAACATTCGGGCTTGAATCGTAACGGAATGCTTCAGTCTTAAAACTATAAAAGCTATACAAGTCATTGATCTATTTCATGTACCCCCCAGAAACTTGGTTTTATTTGTAATTTCCAGTATAGACTACCATGAAGAGAATTTTTGGTAAAACATATTCCTAGTCTATATATTAGTATTTTATTCTGTAAAATATTCTCGTCCTTCATAATAAGATTCAGATAACCAAATTTTATTGGATGTTAACAGATATTTAGGTAGTATCTAATAAACTGATCAGATGCAATTCTGATTATAAAAAGAAACATAATTAGTAGGTATTTATACGGGTTGGATTCTGGTTTATCTCAGAGAAATTTGCACTTGACAAGTCAAACATTTCAACAAATATATATATATATATATATATATATATATATATATATATATAATATTTTATGCGCTGCTGAAAGCCGTTGTTGTATATTTTAATTTGTTCCTAGACTTGAATTCTTAGATTATACGTGACCACTTTTATAATCTCATTTCTTTTTCAGTTCATCCCGAAGTTCAACGATCGTACATGCGCTTGACTCATTTTCAAGATTGTTCCGATGAATTATGCTCCCTGTATACAATTTTCAGTGTATAAAAAGTATTTACCTCTCACTTTGCACTATTTCAAAACAAGCTACGTTTATTCCAGATTTCTTCGTTGTTATGAGCAATTTTAACCAGTGTATTTTAAAACCTTATATACAGCCACATTTCGAAAATGTTCCCAATCTTCTTGAACATACTCTGTTTATCCTTATCTATATGCAGAATCCAACCCGTTTGATTATATTAAATGAGCGATTTAAAATCAAAGAGAACATTTAAATCCGGATATTCAGCTTTATTATCATTATTACTGACTTAGATTTCACAGGTTATCAAACCTTATAAACGGCCTAATAGTTTTCCGTAACATGGCGATATTGGGAGTAAATAGTGATGTTTCTTTCACCAGGCTTTACAAATCGATCTTTGAAACCAAAATATTGTGAAGGAGAAATCCTAACGATATCTGATCAAATGATCTTCATGTTTAAAAGCACATCATTTCCTACTCATAATATCGAGGCTTCATTTTTGTGGACGTAAGTTCATCACTGACAAGCTTTTAATTCAAAAGTTTGTCTTTAGGAATATGAATGTTTACATTGGAGTAACATATTGCAATTAATCGATGTTTTCTATCTGTGTTCCATTCAGTTTTTACCCTTAGCTAATAGAATCTTGTTTGAGCCGCTCTTTAATCGTCGTTGACTCTTCCTTGACAGAAAGTGCTAGATTAGTTTTGGAGTACATACCACAATCAACGCTATCAATATGTTCATTCGAAATGTTTCCCTTAGGTTAAAGTTTCCCAATACAATATTATGTGATGCTGTAAAAAAACCTAGTAGTTTTGGATAAACTTGTGTTACTCAGTTTGTAAACGTTATTAAATTTGATAGGAACTTCAAGGGTATTAAGACGCCAAGTCCAACATTACACATGGTTTAAAAAAATTAAAGCAGCGACTTAAGAATCCATTTTGACTATTGTGGTTGGATCTCCCGCTTTAACATTGTCTGCATAAAACAGCGCGTTAATTTTATTTTGACATTTAATCACCTTTCCACATATTCAACCACTATCAACACAACCTAGCACAATATGATGTACTTAATACGAAAAGCAGAAAAACAGTATAATTCAGTATCTTTGAGAACAAGATCAAGCGGTAAGCATAGCGTTCTTAAAGATAAAGGGAAGGTGTTTTGAAGTGATATCGAAATACAAGTTTGAGATGAAAATCTTTTTCGTTATCTTTAACGATAAGTACATTTCAACAACATTGTGTATTGAAAAATTAACTCGTGTGATGCATAGTCCAACATGCATAACATTACACCAAAACTTTACAAATAATTTTACCATTTGTGTAGTGTTTTAAGACATTGTGGTGATAATGAACAGGTTTTATTTAATCTAACTAGAGTACGTTGAATATTTGAAAGTCATTTTACTTGTAATTGTGGATATGCGTTATTGTCGATTGTTAGTTTTGAACACTCATTAAGAAAGAATGAATGAGAACTACTTCACATATTTGACTTAATTACATATGATAACTAGTTTGCTGCACATTCGCGAACAGTTAAGAGTCTTTAATAAACCTATTTTTCGTTCTATACCAATGAGTAACAAACTGCTCCTAACGTCTTGTGAGTCGCTCCTTCAGAGTGAATAATTGGGATGCAAAAAAAGTATATTTATTTTAATCTTTCCACCCAATGTTCAATTTATTTGGAACTATCAGTTAGGTGTTTTCTTCATTTCAGTTTTTATACCATCCAAAGGGATTCAATTCAGTTGGCTTAAACGGGATGAACGGTCGAGGCTATCTTATAAATACCTCTCATAGCAAGTACGCCATATATCTGAGTGAAGTCAAGTAGTTGAATCACATTCATTAGTCGTGATGTTGATCGAAATGTCTTGAAATAGGGATAAACATACGCAGGAAGGGTTATAAAACTTTTTCCAAATATCGTTGTATGATATCCCCGAGTTATTATCAAAAAGTCGTTTCTTATTTACACATGATTTCAGTTTACAAGCTGTTTGTCTCACTACAAATATTACTTGAGTGCACTTCTGAGGTTCACCATTCAGGTAATATAAATCCTAAAACAACAAACGTTTGAGAAACTGTTAGAGACGAGCTGCTGGGTGAAATAAGAAATGGGATTCGTCTAAGAAGGCGTAAGAAACCGAATATTCGCCAGTTGCGACTTCAAAACACAGAAGCATTCGAGTAGGTTAAATGATGGCTGCAAAACATGCCACCAGTTGACTGAAGCATGTTACGGGATTATTTATTTGAACACAAATATTGGTAACACCGAATACATATGTGCCACCCCAACAGAAATTCAATGTAACCTAGTTGTTATAACATAAGTTAGTGTACGTTTCATATAATCATATGATATCACTTGGCCATTTCGCGCTCAGGCAACTGAATTCTATGGTTATGAGTTTAACGTACGAACTAGCGACTGTATCGCATTGCTTGCATCACATGAAATCCTCTCCTAATTGTCTTCATCAGATCAAGGGTACGATAGATATAAAACTAACTAATCTGGGTCAGGAAGGTGTAAATCGACCGTTGTTGCCACCTTGACGTGGTAGTCGGGCTTGCCTATCGTGGTGATGCAACTGAGCTACACTGGCTGGAACAACCGTTCCTCAAGGTCCTACCATGCCAGACAGGTCGGTTGAAGAGCGGTAAGACTAAAAGCAACGAACCCAAGGTCCGAAGGCGAAGTCGTACTGCTGACTGTACAGAGGTGTGACAGCAGTAAGGTGTTTCCTTCAGACAACCAGCACGACAGCGATGCTGCCTTCCCACAAGGAGGGGTGGGTTGGATTAGAAAATGTCGACGCTAAAAATGCGCACGTTGCCTTATCCCACGGATATCCGTCTCCGGCGGTAAACGTTCAGACATAGTACTCGTATGAGGTGGCTTTAATGCCCAAGTAGGAAGCTTAAACCAAACAAAAGAAATTTAGGCGGGTATTTTGGTATTCTGGCACAGCGAACAGATAATGGTGATCGTCTGCTGCAACTTTGCTCAGACAATCGTTTATTTTTAGCAAACACAAATTTTAAGCATAAGGAGAGACACCGTCTAACACGACGACCCCTGGCACCAAACCAGCGATGGACTCAAACAGACCATAATGCCACCAGTCATCGTTAGAGAGAGTCGACAGAAGATTTTCGCTCATTCTGGAGAACCTGCTTGGACTCCGACCATGCCCTAATGCGGGAACCCATCTGCTTGTGCCTCATTGGATGCAAAAATGCCACACTGAAAAGACCCATTAGAACTTAATCGAGTAATGCGAAAACCAAAAATAGACTCCAGGAACAGCTGAGGTCACACTTCGGTAGTTCTGAAAACGAGGCTGACCCAGATGTTGCTTGAAAAGATATACAAGCCGTTGTGGAAACAGCGGTGACATCTATTAGTAATTCAAACCATAGGGTTACACAGAACCAATGGATTCACCGGGTAATTAACAGTGACGTTGTTGTTGCTTGAAGACTGATCTGCGTCAAAACCTGAACTAAGGATAGGGAGTGAAGTAGTCGAACGCGTTGACAACTTCATTTATCTTGGAAGTCTGATCAGCTTTAATAAGTTGGTGTCTGATGAAATCTCAGTACGAATTCGAAAAGCTCGTTTGGCTCTTGTCAACTTACGTCACCTATGGCGAAGACGAGATATCCGTCGATCAATAAAAAGACGGGTACACCAATTACCGCGGCGCGCAATGCTAACTGGTTTTGGGGATGGTTGGAAGAAAGTTAGGGGTGGTCAAACCAAAACGTGGTCTCAGTGCTTAAAGACATTAACTTCTGGTCTGACCTTGTTGGTAGATGCAGACTATTTTCTTGGGGTCCGCGTTACTATCGTAACCAATGGTTGGAGACTCTTAGTGGCATGGGTCAGAATCGACCATAATGTCGTCGGTGTATACACTCTCTGTTTTCCTTTAAACTATGAGATTGAAATCGCTTCACATTTTTCTTTTTACGTACTAAATCTTTCTTCATGTACTATATCTTTGTATGCAATCTTTCTTTTATATATTACCACCACTGAATTGACCACTTCTATGAATCCGGTGTTTATCTTACTGTGCTAATGCGGTATGGCAGCTTGGATCGATGCACATCTGTGCCTGGTCCTACGTTGTAGCTGACTGACTGAGTCTTAAAATTTCGGTCTTTGTAATAAAATATCGATAGCTCCTTTCAGTTACTTTGATTTGATGCGTAACAAATAGAACATTAGTGCGGCGCTCTGGAGTCGTTTTTCACTACCTGTTGTATGAAACGCGTTTTCGATATTCAGATAAAATATCTTTAGACAGATGTAAAAAGTAAGTTTGCACTTCAGACGAATTACCAGATCACATCAGTTGAATAGCCAATCTAAATCACTTCTTGAAAAATCTTCAGATGCATATATTGCTAACTTGGACGAACACTAATAGAGAAATAATACTGCTTAAATGAACATAGATTCTAATAACTCGCACTAATGTAATCGCGAGAGAAAAATTAAACGTAATGAAGCTCTTAACCTGTAAAGACTGTAAGCAACCAGCGAAACGATGCTATTAAACCTACATCAATAGGTTAACATGTAAGCATAGGAAACAAACATTTATAATACACTATGTCACACTCCATTAAAATACCGCATTTCCAGTAAATTGAATATATATATATATATATCACCTACAAATCAGGGCAACAATTTATACCTGTCTACTAGTTACAAGCATTTACAGCTGGATACTTTGCTCAACATTTAGAAAATTTACTTGAGATGCGAATGTTCACTGGGCCAAATTTAAAATCTTTAGATGCGTCCGTATAAGATTAGTGAGATAAGTGATCATCAGCAAATCTTTATAGCTTGAATTGATCAATTGCTCCAAATGATCAGGGTCTAATTTGGGGATTGAGAAAATTAACTGTGCTATAGACCTTCCAATTTTGGGGTCGGCCGGACATTTGTTATCGATAACATTTTCAACGTAACGAATGACCTGATCCAACATGGTAAGCAGATGTTGTGAAAGTTGATACAGATAGACCATGTCATCTCCATGCTAAAAGTTTTAAATAGATGACAAAATTGTAATCCCAAAATGTCATCTATAACTGCTTATGGATAATATGAATAGGCTTTTAAAAAAAACCGATGAGAACCAGCAAATATAATTAAACTAACATTTTACTTGTTTCATGAGAAAAGTGAATCAAACACAGTTGAAGCGTCTTAACGATTATCACGTCAAACATAAAAACATTCATATATCTATACAGAAATACAACTCAAGGGGCATACATCATCAAACAAACTATAGATACTTTTCATATTTTTATTGACTAGAATCGATATTAATCAATAGGCAATCAGTTAATCATACGCAGTATAGAACCTTTATGTGCACTGATTCACGTTGCCATACCACAGCGAAGCGGGGTGAAATTATCGATAAATCCCAGAGAGCATGATTATTAATAGTATCAGCAGTAGTAGGATCGCTCAGGTAGAAGTGTGCAATTACCTGACAGACATAACACATATCCATACCACCTAAGTCGGTGAAGATTCACTACCTTATCGACTAATTCCCCACCTTTACCAAACACAGCGTCTAACCTCCCCATTGCTCACTTGACATTTCCAATATATTTTATATACGCTGATGAAATGCAGAGTCTTTTGGTAGCACTGAGCAACAATGCCAGAATGTTTGGGATGCGCTTCTCTCCCTCCAAATGCAAGTTGTTGCTTCAGGACTGGTCTGCGTCAACACCTGAACTAAGGATAGGGGGTGAAGTAGTCGAACGCGTCGACAACTTCACTTATCTTGGAAGTCTGATCAGCCCTAATGGGTTGGTGTCTGACGAAATCTCAGCACGGATTCGAAAA